CAGGGGTTGAACCTGGGCCCTCTGCATTGGGAATGTGGAGTCTTAACCATTGGACCACTAGGGAAGTCCCATTTCTTCATTATAGTTGACGGTTTGACTATAGAACATAATGTTGTATTTGCTTAGATTGCTTTTTCATATTGACTTTGATAGAGATACAGAGATTTGCCAAACTAACAAATAAGCTTCCTTCAATGTAGAGCTACTGTTTTATTTTAGGATCCCTTTCTAACTATAACATCTTATTTAGATAAGCTCCTGATGGTTCTCTGTTTTTTTTTATTTTTTGGTTCTCTCTTGAAATTTGGTTTTTATTTTCCTCCTTTTCACAAGCTGTCTGGAAGTCCTATGGTATCGCTTTCATAAATAGTGTCACAAGTTTTTCTTACTTTCTCTTTTTATTTAGACATTTACTAGCAGATGGGTTGATTTAAGTGTTCTATTTCTAGGTTTTGATTTTTAAAAATTAAAAAAAGTCAGCTTAATTTAAAAAATTGTATATATATTTACAAATTAAGGTCCCAGTCGTATGTACATCAGGTTTTAAAGTTCTTAGGACCAGTATTTCAGATTATGGTTAAAAAAAAAAGAACTTCCTCTCATTAACATATCTTCAGAATTCAGAAAAATATGTTTAATTGTATGTATTAACAGTATATGTCTTTTTTGTGTTTATCTCATTTCTATTAGATATTCAGTTCCTTATCTAATGATGCTTTTGTTGTATTAAAATAGATTTGAAGGTCACTTTAAAGAAAAGTAACTTATTTTTTCAGTGACTTTTCCCCTAGATTAAAAAAAAACTTTTTGGGACTTCAATGGCTAAGACTCTTGAGTTCCCATGAAGGGCCCAGGGTTCAATCCCTCGCCAGGGAACTAGATCCCACATGCTGCAGCTAAGACCCAGCACAGTCAAATAAATAAATGTTTTTTTAATGGGAAAAATTAATTTCTCATTTCAATATATTGTAAGACAGACCAGTGAAACAGTAGTACCTATTAAAAAGTCCTGGACTTTCCATTTATTGTTTCTTCTTACTGGTTATTACTATATATATGAGGGCTTAATTTCTCTATGTAATTTTATATCTTACCATTTTACTACATTTTCTTAATTGTTTGAAATAATTTTTCCATTGATTTTTGTTTTTGTTTTTTTGTTTTTCAGTTAAATGTATTATTTGCAAATTGGGGTAGAGATAGTCTCCTTTTCCCCCTAACCCATGCACCTGTCCCCAATTGTTATGCCTCTAATTGCTTTTTTCTTTAATTTTTTAGTTAACTAATTAATTACCTATTGGCTGTTCTGGGTCTTTGGTGCAGTGCGTGAACTTTCTCTAGTTGTGGCGAGTGGGGGCTCCTCTCTAGTTGCTGTGCTTGGGATTCTCATTGCAGTGGCTTCTCTTGTTGTGGAGCATGGGCTCCAGGGTGTGTGGATCTTAGGAGCTGTGGCTCGGGCTCTAGAGCTCAGGCTCAGTACTTGCAGCATGTGGGCTTAGTTGTCCCACGGCATGTGGAATCATCCTGGACCAGGGATTGAACCTCTGTTTCTGCATTGGCAGGTGGATTCTTAACCACTGGGCCACTAGGGAAGTCTTAATTTTCTCGACTAATGGCATTAGCAAGTACCTATATAATATTATTTATTAGGTAAGTCCTTATTTTTCTTGACTTTAGTGAAAAATCTTTAGTGTTCCCACCCCCTCTAGGTTGTTGGCTTCCTTTTTTAACAGCTGTATTCATGAGAGATACAGTTTACAAACTGTAAATTCTTAAAGAGATGGGAATACCAGACCACCTTACCTGCCTTCTGAGAAACCTGTATGCAGGTCAAGAAGCAACAGTTAGAGCTATATATGGAACAACAGGCTGGTTCCACGTTGGGAAAGGAGTACATCAAGTCTGTATGTTGTCACCCTGCTTATTTAGCTTCTGTGCAGAGTATGTCATGTGAAATGCCAGGCTGGATAAAGCACAAGCTGGAATCAAGATTGCTGGGAGAAATATCAGTAATTTCAGATATGCAAATGACACTACCCTTATGGCAGAAAGTGAAGAGGAACTAAAGAACCTCTTGATGAAGGTGACAGAGGAGAATGAAAAAGCTGGCTTAAAACTCAGCATTAAAAAAAACTAAGATCATGACATCTGGTCCCATTACTTCATGGCAAATAGATGTAGAAAAAATGGAAATAGTGACAGATTTTATATTCTCGGGCTCCAAAATCACTGCGGATGATGACTGCAGCCGTGAAATTAAAAGACATTTGCTCCTTGGAAGAAAAGCCATGACAAATGTAAACAGTGTATTAAAAAGTGGAGACACTGCTTTGACAAAGATCTGTAAAGTCAAAGCTGTGGTTTTCCCAGTAGTAATGTGTAGGTGTGAGAGTTAGACCATAAAGAAGGCTGAGCACGGAAGACTTGATGCTTTTGAACTGTGGTGTTGGAGAAGACGCTTGAGAGTCCCTTAGACTGCAAGGAGATCAAACCAGTCAATCCTAAAGGAAATCAACCCTGAATATTCATTGGAAGGACTGATGCTGAAGCTTCAATACTTTGGCCACCTGATGTGAAGAGCTGACACATTGGAAAAGACCCTGATGCTGGAAAAGATTGAGGGCAAGAGGAGAAGGGGGCGACAGAGGGTGAGACGGTTGGATGACATTATCAACTTGATGGACATGAGTCTGAGCAAGCTCCGAGACATAGTGAAGGACAGGGAAGCCTGGCGTGCTGTGGTCCGTGGGGTTGCAAAGAGTCAGAAACAACTGAGTGACTGAACAACATTTACCCGTTACGGCTGTACTTCAGAGATTTTTTTTAAAAAGTAAATTTATAAGGTTGTTCAACCATCACCAAAACTTATTTGTAAATGTTTCTTTGATTCTGAAAAGTTCCTGTGTCCTTTTATAGCAACTCTTATGTTGAGAGGTATATGATGATTTATTTGTATGCATGTGTGTTTATATCCTATACCTTGTAAATATTTAGTTTTATCAGTTAAGGAATTATTCATTTTTAAAAAAAATGAAGTATAGTGGATTTACAGTGTTAGTTTCAGATGTGTAAAACAGCGATTCAGTGTTTTTATAGGTTATATTCCATTTATGGTACGGTGGTAAAGAATATACCTGCCAGTGCAGGAGATGCAAGAGACTCAGTTTCAGTCTCTGGGTCAGGCAGATCCTCTGGAGGAGGGCATGGCAATCCACTCTAGTGTTCTTGCGTGGAAAACTCCATAGACAGAGAAGCCTGATGGGCTGCAGTCCATGGGGTCAAAAAGTAGGACATGACTGAGCGTGTGTGTGCACGTGTGCGTACACGCACACAGACACACATGCAATTTGAAGTTATTATAAACTAATGATGCGTTTCCCTGTGGGAACAGTGGACCCTTGCAGCTTGTCTGACGCATGGTCATCTGCACTCCCTAACTCCCCAACTTGCCCCTTTCTGCTGCTTCCCACTGGCAAACACCAGCGTGTTCTCTGTACCCGTGAATTTTTTTTGCTATGTTCATTTTTTTGTTTTACTTTTTAGATTTCACATATAACTAATATGTAATATTGGTCTTTCTCTGACTTAATTCAGTAAGCATATTACCTTCTAGGTCCATCCATGTTATTCTTTAAAAGAAAAAATTTCCTTCTTTTTTTAATGACTGAGTAGTATTCCATTATATATATATATATATACACACCACGTTAAAAAAAGATCTGATCTTCTTAATCCATTCATCTGTTTATGGAAACAGGTTACTTCTGTATCTTAGCTATTGTAAATAGTGCTGCTATGAATATTGGGTGGCATGTATCTTTTTGAATTACTGTTTTTGTTTTCTTCAGGTATATATCCAGGTATTCGCTTGCAGGATCTCAGTTCCCCAACCAGAGACTGAACCCAGGCCCAGCACAGTGAAAGTGCTGTGTCCTAACCTTTGGACCACCAGGAATTCCTTATTTTAGCTTTTTAAGGATCCTCCATATTGTTTTCCGCAGTGGCTATACCATTTTACACTCCCACCAACAGTGTAGGAGGGTTCCCTTTTCTCCACACCTCTCACATTTGTTATTCATGTTCTTTCTGATGATGGCCATTCTTACAGATGTGAGATAATATATTGTTGTGGTTTTGACTTGCATTTCTTTGATGGTTAGCGATATCGAGCATGTTTTCCTGTGCCTGCTGTCCAATCTGTATGTATTACTTCTTTGGAAAAATGCCTATTCAGGTCTTCTGCTTGTATTTTAACTGGTTTGTTTTTTGATATAGAGTTGTATGAGCTGTTCATATATTTTGGATATTAATTCCTTATTGGTCATATCATTTGCGAATATTTCCTCCTATTCAGTAGGTTGTTTCTTTATTTTATTGATGATTTCCTTTGCTGTGAAAAAGCTTTTCAGTTTAATTAAGTACCATTTGTTTATTTTTGCTTTTGTTTCCTTTGCGCTCGTAGACAGATCCAGAAAAGTATTGCTGGGCTCTAGGTCAAAGCGTATTCTCTGTATGTTTTCTTCTAGGACTGTTATGGTTTCTGGTCTTAAGTTTAGGTCTTTAATCCATTTGGAGTTTATTTTTGTAAATGGTATAAGAAAATGTTTTAAATGGTGTAAGAAAAATGTTCTTTCATTCTTTTGCATATAGTTGTCCAGTTTTTCCAGCACTGCTTATTGAAGAGACTGTCTTTTGTTCATTGTATATTCTTATCTCCTTTGTCATAGATTAATTGACCAAAGGTGCATGGGCATTAATTCTTATTTCATTGCTTGTTTTTAATATGAGTGTTTAAGTTTTCTTTTTGACATACATTTAAATCAGCAGGCTCAAGTTGTAGTCTTTCTTGGTGTAGTAAAAAAAAGAAGTGTCTCTACAATAAAATGCTGTGCTGTTACAAGAGAAAGTTTTCTCAGTACAGGAAGATAACATTTCTTATTTTTTTGAAAACAGTATTTCATACTCTGAAACATTTTGTCCCATGTTGTTTGTTAAAGAGGATGGCATTCCCTGTGGATATGTTGGATAATTGCAGTCATGAAGAACTGGAAAATTCTGCTGAAGATTACATGTCAGATCTGAGGTGTGGGGACCCTGAAAATCCGGAATGTTTTTCTCTTCTCAATATTACGGTAAGGCATCCTGCTGTGATTTTTACCAGTCTTTTCCACTGAGTTTATAATGAAGTCAGTATCCTTTCATTATCTTTTAAAGTGTTAACTAATCACCTTTGAAAATTTTATCAGAAGACTTTTCAGTAAAATGGATAAATATTGATTTGTTAGCATGATCAAATGGCTAGTTAGCCATATTTGAGCTAACCCAGTTAAATCTACTTTAGATTTGGAAATTGTTGGTTGACAAACATTTTTTTATAAAAATCAGCAAAAAAAATTAATTAAAAAATGAAAGAAAAAAAATCAGCAAAACACTACATTACACTTTTTTGAGTCACAAGCCTTCCTTTCTCCAAAATATTAAAAATTTCTGAATATATTTTGATAGATCATTAGACATAAAATTAAGAATTCTGGTGTGAATTTGATGACAGACAAATTCTCTAACCTCTTTAGGCCTCAGGTTTTTCTTTTGGCAAATGATGTTTATTTAATGAATTCTCAGCTTCTTCCAACATCACTTTTACAGTTTTTTGAATGGCAATATTATGTGTAAATAGGGAATTAGCATTCCAGACTGTGAAGAATCTGACTACAATGCCGGAGGCCCGGGTTCGATCCCTGGGTTGGGAATATCCTCTGGAGAAGGGAATACCCACTCCAGTATTCTTGCCTGGAGAATTCCATGAACACAGAAGCCTGGCAGTTAACAGTCCATGGGGTCACAAAGAGTCAGACAAGACTGAACAACTTTAATTCGTTGAAGGCAGAAAAGGTTTAAAGTATTGTATATATCTCAGGGGAAAAATACCCTAGTGTCTTTTACTAGAAAATGAAAGTTTTCCCTCAAGTGACCTAAATAACAGATGATAAAATTTTAAAATCATTTTATAGAGTATATCATGCTTTTGTTTTTATTCAGATGCATAGCTACAGCACAGTGATACTTATTGAAATACTTAATTTTTCTCCCAAGTTCATAAAATTCCTGCAAAAGTAAAGCCTATCTCATGTGGTCTTTTTTTTTTTTTTCTGGAGACTAGAAATATCCTCTGTGAGAAGAAACTACAATTAGTGTTAGTGTATGTTTAAAATTTTGGTAGAAACATGGTGTTTTTGATATTTTCTTTACCAACTCTTCACTAATGTTTAATCAATTGTCATTTCAGATTCCTATTAGCCTGTCAAATGTAGGCTTTGTACCTCTCTATGGTGGAGATCAGACCCAGAAAGTTCTTGCTCTTTTTGCACCTGAGGACTCACTCACAGGTCTCTGTTTTGCTTAACCTTTATAAATTGAGGAATTTTTTCCCCCAAACAATTAGAAATTTATTAAAAGATAGCTACATGAAGGAATTTTGAAAAAAAAAAACTTATTTCAAACTGTAAATTTAGGAAAATATAATTTCTCTGTTAAATATTTACTGAGCGAAATACAATAAGATAGTATAAATGGGGCTGCCACACTGTATTGTAAAGTATGGATATATTTAAGAGTATCCTTAAAAACCTACAAAATAGTAATATCATGTACTTTAAGACTTCGATGTTAACCATCATTTATTCTCTTTTAGCTGTGGCACTTTACCTTGCTGATCAGTGGTGGGCTATTGATGATATTGTGAAAACATCTGTCCCTTCAAGAGAGGGGCTTAAGCAGGTAACAAGACCCTGTCGTTTTAAAAGTGTTTCTTAAGAGACCATTTCACAATGTGTTTCCCATAAACAGTGATAGTTTTTGAAGTTACTGGGCTATTGTCCATTTTAGTATTCCTGGTGATAGTAAACCCTTTCATTGTTCCATTATTATGGTGAAACTGGCAATTAGATTGGGCTTCCTTGATTTTAATGTGAGGGTCTGAGTATTGAGGGAGGAGGAATGAGAACCTGTGGTTTAATTGATCTGTAGTTACCCACATCAACTTCAGGTTCTGATTTTTCCTTTTGGGTGGGAAAAAGCTTATTCTCTCTGTGTGGTTGCTTAGGTTCTCTGTCTCTAGGAGAGACTGACCAGGAAACTTGCTTATCAGTAGGGCCATTTTGGGTGGTCCATTCAGTGTTCCAAACAGTGTAGTGGAAAGGAGGTGCTCAGTAGCAATACTGTAAAACTTAGTCTTTTTTCTGTCCCAGTCATCATTTTATCAATTACTTAGAAGATGACATAGTTGGCATGCTTATCAGTTCTTCATGCCACAGTGCTGGAAGAGAGAACTCATCTGTAAAGGCAGAATTAAGAAACAAAAGAGAAGGATCTAACATGAAAATAAACTAGTGAAAAAGGTAAAATAATATCTATGGGTTCAAAAAATTAACTGTACACCATGAAGATCAAACTAAAACAGCAGCACATATGAAAAAGATTGGGCTTTAGTTAATTAGAAGTAAAATCAAGGAAAGAAAGAAAGCTGATAAAAACCCTAAGTTTATACAGAAAAGCCCCATTATCTTATCAGTATCTTCAGTTTATATCTGTAGTAGCTGCATCTGCTGACATGCAGAGAGACATTAGGGATCTGAAGCCATTTCAAGGGAAAAGACTGGAATGGCAGGAGTACCCAAAATCATATTAGATGAGTCTTTTTCTACATTCAGCTTTGATAGGAAATTTAGGAGAATATAAGGGCTGTTTTCAAATATTTGTAGACTCTGTGGTCCAGAATATCAGGCAAAGTATAGTTTTTGGAAAAGAGATTTCAGCTCAGTGTGAGAAGGAATTTTATGCTGGTCAGAGCTGTTCAAGGAAGGCATGGGTTACTTTGTAAGCTGGTGAGCATGGTTGTTTCATGTGGTGGTTGGTATTGGAAATCTCTTTCCAGGGAGGTTTTTGGTGGTAGTGTGTGTGTGCCTAATGCTTTTTTCTCCCCCTTCCCCTAATTAGACATTCTTGTTTTTCTTTAAGGAAAGTTGGAGCGGGCGTGTAGATTTCATGGCTAGACTCTTGTTTTTAGCAGTGACAGATATCTGTGGGGAAAACCCCACTGTTCAGTGTCAGGCAGTTGATGAAGGAGTCCCAGTGACTATGGAGCCCTCCCTGTAGGAGTGAGGTTCTGTTTCCATTCTGTGATTGACCCAAGTTTTGTTTTCATCACACTGCCCTGGTGCCACTGTCATTGCCCATCTGATCTGGTGGAGGCGTGTATGTGTATGAGGGGAGACAGGTATTCCTGAGAGTTGCATAACAAACACATGACTGTCAAATGACCATTTTACCTGGAAAAGATGAGACAGATGCTTTTCCCAAGGGCATAATTACGGCTTTCCTCATCAAATGAGTTGATTGTTTTTAAAGTCTTCAGAGTAGCACTAAGCTTTTGTCCCTTTTATTTTATTTCCTTTTTTTTTAAATTGTGTAGGCTGGAATGGGTGGAAAGAGCTGAAGCACTAGAGATGTTGGGGGCTGCAGTTAGAATTTGGGGAGACCTGGGATCTGGGCAGTTGGAAGCCAGAAGAGAACGCTGACTGCTGAAGTGGAGATGCTGGGCGTTGGTATATTGGAAACCTGCTTGCCTATTTTAGAATTTTGCTGAGAGGCATTATTTCATGCATAACTTGTATCCATAGAAATGGATTGTTATTGGTGTGAATGACTTGGTCTCATCTTTGTGATAATAAAATGGTTTACAAATCATTTTGAATGTATTCAAAATGCTTTGAATGTCAGTACGAGATGGAAGCAGGGAGTCAGGTAAATTGCATCTCTCAGTTGATGCGTATTATAACTTGTGCCTGGTGTCTGACTCTCTTTGTAGGTGAGAACTCTTGGGGAGAGAGTGGTTCTGTATGTTCTGAATCGAATTATTTATAGAAAGCAGGAAATGGAGAGAAATGAGATCCCATTCCTGTGTCATAGCAGTACTGATTATGCTAAGATTCTGTGGAAGAAAGGAGAGGCCATTGGGTTTTATTCAGTTAAGCCTACAGGTGAGTCTTTAAAAGTTATTTAAAATATGTATTATGTAAACTCACTTTCTGGACCCCACCTATATCAATGTCCCTTTTACATTAGTATCTAAAGTACAAATTGAAATGATTTTACTCAGTATTTCTTGTGAGTGCTTTGATTCTATGTAAGTGAGGATTGTTAGGAAAAGTCGTGAAAAAAAGATTAAACATTTGACAGGAAAATTTTGCCACGTATGTGATGAAAGTTGAGGCTCAAATTTGTCTTCTCTCCCTCTCATTTCCTTCCCTTTATTTAAAGGTCCTTGTTCTACTTCGATTCCTATTGCTGTCACTATTACAGACTTTTTCAAAGCCTCTTTCTACCTGTGGACCAGATGCATAGCCTTTCTCTTCTAGTTTTGGCTGATTCGGCCTGATAGATTAAAGGCAGCTTTGCTAATTACCATGAAAAACAAAGTGCCTTAATATATTTAGCGAATCCAAGCAGCTTTGACATCATTAATCTAGTCAAGTTTGGATTTCTGATCCCAGGACCCAACTACACCCTGTTCTGAAAGACTAGAGCAGCTTCATCTTGCTGTATGTGTTCTCCTGTTCTTTTGGTTCCCTGAAGCTACTGGAGCCAGAAAAATCAAACCTGCTTAGTCCATGTGCATACCTACTCCACACCTGACAACCACCGAGTAGCAAAGGCAGCCTTGTTCTGCGCCTTGGCCAAAGACCATTCTCAGAGAACACATATTATTTTTCTATCTTTTTTATATTTCAGACTTGCCAAATTTAGCTCTTGTGATCAAATGCCCTCTAAAGATCTTACCAAATTCCCTGCTGAATTGAAGGACAGTTGTGACTAATAACCTTAATCATACAATTAGTGGACATTTATGATGAGAATAAGTATACGTAGTCAACAAAAGGGAGGTCAGTTCTTCTCAAGAATAAATAAAACTGTGATCTATAGTTTTAAATGGTTTGGTATAGTAAATAAGTCTCCATTAGTATGCTGTTTTATTCTTGTAGAAATTTGAAGCAGAACCAGTAATTATGTAACTCCAGAAAGATACCATCGTTTAGAGGCAGAATAGTGATGTTTGTTTAGTGGAAGCCTAGTGCTGCATTGCATAAAGACATCACTTAATTGGTTTAAAATGTTCTCATACATTTGGGGCTGGAGTCTGGTTCACTATATGCTTTATTTTATACAAGGTAATTCCTATGGGGATTAGAGGCTTGTTGCTGCTACACTGGCTATAGTAGGGTTTCCTACTTGAAACTAGCTTATAGACATTTGAAGTACAGAAGAGTTTATGCTTCTCCGTTTAGAGCATCTGTAGATGAAAGACACACAGTACAGGGCGCAGCATTCCCTTCTCGGTATTTCTGATCGGTACTTGATTGCAGGCATTGGTCCCTCGTTGATGTGTGTTTGGGGCTCCTCCTCTCCTTTGGGGCCTGGCTTTTGTTTCCTCTTTCTGGTATTTAACTAGTTTTATACGCTCCAGCTTCCAAGTACTACTTGTCTGCCCCTCTTAGCACCTTCCATTCTTTCCTGCTAACTGCATGGCCTGTTGATTTGTCTTTTTCCACTCTAAGCTCTGGCTCTCATCAGCCAGAGAACAGTGGACTTAGATGTGCTTATGCTAGCCTTTGAACCCTTAACCATCTAATTCAGTGTGGAAGTAGTTTTCTACAAAGGAAACCCAAATGTAAAATGATTTTTAAAAATTGCCTGGGACAAATACTGAAACACTTTGTGATAGAACTGTTCTTAATGTATTGATATGTATCAGAAAAAAACTGTACCAGTAGCAAAAAGATAAAGCCTTTATTAAATACATTTGTAGTTGAATAAAAGTCTGTGATTATTTATGATTTTTTAAATAGCAAATCAGTATATAGGGTTATTAGTAAGAACATAAAAGGAACATATATTATCTTGATATATAAGAGGAGACTTTGTTTATGAGGTCAAATCTATTTACAGGAAGTGCAGTTCAAGAAAATATGTAATTTTGGGGGGCCTGAAATAAATTATCATGATGGATTTATAGTTTATCTTTTGGGTTACGTAGATGTCAGATCATTAAAAATAATTTTTAACAGTAAATCACTGTATAATATCTGATACATAACTCTAAAGGGAGCTTGCAGAGTTGCGTAACATCATTGTAATAAGATTTTCTGGTCCCTCCTATGATTATTAAGCATTTTTATCTATAAAAATAAAAGAAACAGGATTAATACTTGTTGCGTTTTGATAGTAAATAATATTTGTTCCTGGTCTCATAAACTGAAAAGAAAAAGGTAAGCTCTATATATTTAATTAAGAGATTTTCAGTAAAATTTTATTTTTTGCTGAATAGGTTTCCAAATGTATAATATACTTGTGTTTTGATCTGTCATATGCTAATATTAATTATAATGAAAACTCAGAATTACTTTTGAATTGGTACTTAGAACCTTATGGTTGCAAGGCATTTTAAAAATTTATATTTAAAAAAATTTATATAGAGATAATGTATTTACAGAGAAGAATGATTAGATAATCAACATATAACTCAAATATAAAAATATATTACATCAAGATAACGGTGTATAGAATAAATAGAAGGCAGGATGGGGAGGAGCAATGTAGACTTTTACTGTTAATGGTTAGTTCAGTAGTAAGGAACAGTTTGTTCAGTGTATGATGACAGTTATCAAATCAAATTGATAATAGTTTTTAGGGTCCATTTGATACATTTAAAAGAGTAGTGATATAGTTTTTTTCTTTAATCAATGTTGTTTGTTTGAGAAGGGATGGGGCGACTTCCCTGGCAGTCCAGTGGTTAAGACTCCGCACTTAAATTACAGGGGGCGTGGGTTCATTACCTGGTCAGGGAACTGAGATCCCCCACATGCACTAAGGCCAAAAAACAAAAAGGAAACATAGTAAATTTATATAGAGAATCCTGGCAGACACCATGTTAATTAATAGATTCTGGTTAACATTACCAAGAATAGAACACATCACTATTAGAGACCCCAGCATTGTATACTGAGAAGGATATCACATCTTTTCTGTACTATTTTTCACCAAAATGCATAATCTCAATTTTATCATGAGAAAACATTCAGTTCAGTTCAGTTGCTCAGTTGTGTCTGACTATTTGCGACCCCATGAATTGCAACACGCCAGGCCTCCCTGTTGATCACCAACTCCTGGAGTTTACTCAAACTCTTGTCCATCGAGTCGGTGACCCCATCCAACCATCTCATCTTCTGTCGTCCCCTTCTCCTCCTGCCCCCAATCCCTCCCAGCATCAGGGTCTCTCCAAATGAGTCACTTCTTCACATCAGGTGGCCAAAGTACTGGAGTTTCAGCTTCAACATCAGTCCTTCCAGTGAACACCCAGGACTGATCTCCTTTAGGATGGACTGGTTGGATCTCCTTGCAGTCTAAGGGACTCTTAAGAGTCTTCTCCAACACCACAGTTCAAAAGCATCAATTCTTTGGCACTCAGCTTTTTTCACAGTCCAACTCAACATCCATGCATGACCACTGGAAAAACCATAGCCTTGACTAGATGTACCTTTGTTGGCAAAGTAATGTCTCTGCTTTTTTTTTTTTTCACGAAAAATATGGAATGCTTCACAAATTTGCATGTCATCCTTGCACCGGGGCCATGCTAATCTTCTCTGTATCGTTCCAATTTTAGTATATGTGCTGCCGAAGCGAGCACACATCTCTGCTTTTTAATATGCTATCTAGGTCGGTCATAACATTCCTTCCAAGGAGTAAGCGTCTTTTAATTTCATGGCTGCAGTCACCATCTGCAGTGATTTTGGAGCCCCCCAAAATAAAATCTGACACTGTTTCCACTGTCTCCCCATCTATTTCCCATGAAGTGATGGGACCAGATGCCATGATCTTAGTTTTCTGAATGTTGAGCTTTAAGCCAGCTTTCTCACTCTCCTCTTTCACTTTCATCAAGAGGCTTTTTAGTTCCTCTTCACTTTCTGCCATAAGGGTGGTGTCATCTGCATATCTGAGGTTATTGATGTTTCTCCTGGCAATCTTGATTCCAACTTGTGCTTCTTCCAGCCCAGTGTTTCTCATGATGTACTCTGCATATAAGTTAAACAAGCAGGGTGACAATACACAGTCTTGAGTACTCCTTTTCCTATTTATAAAGCCAAATTGGAGGTTATTTTACAAAGTAACTGATCAGTAACCTCCAAAAGTATCAAGATGAAAGACAAGGAAGGGTGGAGGAAGTGTCAAGACCAGAGTTTAGGAGACATGAAACTTAAATACCATATGGAATCTTGGATTGGATTAGAAGTTGAATAAGGTCTGCAGTTTCCGCTGATAGTCTTTTATCAGTTTTGATGTCCTGGGTTTTGATAATAGTATTCTGGCTATGTAAGATGTTACCATTAGGAGCATTTGGATGAAGGGTGTGTGGGAACTCTGCATATTTTTGAAACTTTTTTCTAAGTCTGAAATTATTTTTAAGATAAATAGTTGTTAAGAGTGAAGTTGCTCAGTTGTGTCCAACTCTTTGTGACCCTATGGACTGTAGCCTACCGGCTCTTCTGTCCATGAGATTTTACAGGCAAGAGTACAGGAGTGGGTTGCCACTTCCTTCTCCAGAGGATCTTCCCTACCCAGGGATCAAACCCGGGTCTCCTGCATTGTAGGCAGATGCTTTACCATCTGAGCCACCAGGGAAGTCTTGCTAAAAATTACAGCCTTTATAATTGAAACTTATGATGGAAATTTTAGATGTTACCAAAGATGTGTGAATACATGTTATGTATTTCAAAATTATTTAATGGTTACATTAACAAAAAAGTTTCCTTTGAGGAATTTGACTTGTCCAAGAGAAAAAAAATTCTAAAAGTGCCAGTTTAAATAGTTCCCCTTTGAAAGGTCCCAACTCATTGTCAGTAGCCCCCATCATGTACACTAGTCAACTTCTTAATGTCCCATTCTTAACTATGAACAAATAGCTTAGTTAGCATAAGTCACTAAT